AAAAAAAACCAAACCAGCTTTCTAGAATGCCCTTAGAAGAACCCACTCCTTAAGATCTGCATCATTCAGCAGACATCCACACTCAGATACGTAATCTTCGATCCACATCTTTGAGCTAACCCTCAGCCAACTTCATGGAACCACACGGGTAAAGAGAAGCCACCAGCTATACCACAGGTAGGTACTGTGCTCAGTGGCGAATGACAGTCACCAATGTACCACAGAAACCCAGGAGGTATATACGGGTGTCTAAGCATCTGTGAAATGCAATATTTCAATCAGCATCGCGAAGCAAGCTAAGACACTGGGAAGAACTCTAAACAACTGCTAATGGGGGGGGGGGGGCGCCTTTTTCAAGATGGAATCATTTGGTTTCTCAAATGTTTGCGAATTACAGGGTAAATACAGAGTAAATTAACAAAGTCACCATGGAGGAAGAAATCAAACAAACAAACAAAACAAAACAAAACAAAAGGAGAGAGGGAGAGAGAAAAGCCAGGAAGTGAAACCTGCCTTCCAGCTACATGGAAAAACACTCTAGTGCCCCGAGTAAATAAATAATAAAAGGATATGGAAACAATACACCCTGAAAACTCTTGTCCCTCCTCTGTTCTCCTGGCCAGAAGCAGTGCCGACAGGTTTGTGCTGCCTGAGCTACAAACCCAGCTAGCATTTATTTAGCTAATAACACTCGAGGACTCTTTAAAGAATGAGGTAGGGCATTTCAAAGCCCCGAAGCCTGTCAGTTAGTGTATCCCATTATTGGACTCCAAGCTCCAGTATTAACTCCGGAGACAAAGTACCTCGGCCCCCGGGCCAGATAAATGCTAGAAATAAAGGGGGCTCAGATCACACCATTTTCCTTTCTCACCGGTAGGAAGGCTCCTGAGAACATGTACCCACAACGAAAAAGACTGAAACAACACACAGTGACTGTCAATTCTCACCACACCTAGCCCTGTTTTTAGAAAACATCTTAATTCATATAGGTTCTGGTTCCCGATGATAGCCTTAACCTTGCCTGCTCACATACTTTCATATTATTTCTTCAACACACGCTGTGCCACCCGCACAAACAAGCCATGCAACCAGTGGTGTGGAACAGAACACGAATAAAAACGAAGCAAAACACAAAGGAAATGAAGGTGGAAATGAAAATCCAGCATCACAGAATTTTAGAGCTAGAGGAGACTTTGGGGAGTAAGAAACAGGCTAAGGACCTGCACTAGGGCAGATAATTGGTAGCAAAGAAAGATCTAGAAGGGTCTAGAAAAGTCTAGAAAGGCAAAAATGTTGACTAGCTGTCACTTCTGCAGGAGGCCTGGAAACAATTCTCTTCTTAAAGGCAATATTGCCACTTCTCACTATAGGGACTCATGAAGTGGTTTGTCAGGGCTGCTGAGAAAACTGAAAGCAATGGCCAGCCTAGGACAGTGGGCTGGCCTCCATGGTGCCTGTCAGACCCACCTCCCTATGGAGAGCAGCCTAAGAAAGGAGTTGAGATTTAGGGATCAAGCCACTTTCGGAAGTGTCCATTTTTTCAGAACTGTCCTGGGATTTGACAGTATTTGATTTACATGATTTCACTCCCTTTCATTCTTCTATGGAAGCAGAGATGTTCCGTACTATCCCATCTTACAGATGAGAAAGCCAAAGGTTTGTTTTCTTTTTCAAAGACTCCAGTGCTGCAAACTACTTGGGGACAAGGGCTGCCTTTAGGTGGCCAGAGCAGCATCCTCCATGTAGCAAAACGTTACCAACAAAGGCTGATTTCCACTCTCAGGCAAGGGGTGGGTGAGCCGCAAACGAAGAAGAAGAGAACCAGGACGGGACGCAGACAAAGATCAGTAGGACTCCTATAAAAATGCGGAGGGGGGCGCCTGGGGGGCTCAGTCGGTTAAGCATCTGACTCGATTCGGCTCAAAGATGCGATCTCACCATTCACAGGATCGAGCCCCGCGTCGGGCTGTGCGCGGACAGCATGGAACCTGCTTGGAATTCCTCACGCCTCTCTTGCTCTCAAAATAAATTAAACAACAATTTCAGCGTGTTAAAACAAAAGCGGTGACATGTCACATCACCGTTT